GGGGGGGTACTCGTCTGGGTCTGTCCTCTCTACTGCACTTCCAAGCGGAGGCTCGTGCAATCCCTGTTGGCCTAATCAGCACAACAAGTTTTTGCGTGAAGTGTTGTAGTTGAAGGGAAATATGGAAGGTGAAAATGTGTGGGGGAGGAGGGGCAAAGTGCACAAGGGGCAAAAAGTGGTAATCTTGAAAATTTGGCACACCTGCCACAACACTTCAAAATGCTTTATTGTTATTCCGGATGTTTTTTATTTCCTTTTTAACACACAGGAAGAAATATTAACTGGTACTTTCAAATTGTAAAGATTTAAAATATTACAAAGGTCCAGCCAACTGTGGTAATTCAGCCTGCGTCCTCCCGAAAAGGTGCAAGCATCAAATGAATTTCTGAATAACTGATATCGAACTAAAAAAGACAACCGTTGCTTTTCAGATCTGAAACGTGCGCCGGTAGAGGGATTTTCAGCGGGTCTTCGAGGTGATGCGGAAGACATCTACAAATGGGAAGTTGTGGTACTTGGACCACCGGATACTCCCTAGTAAATAATTCTTATTGAAGTGCTCCTGCCTCTGAAACCATTATTTTGTCTTTCTCAGAAGTAACAACAATGGTACTGTTTTGCAGCGAAGGTGGCGTGTTTCGCGCGACACTCGATTTCCCGACGGATTATCCACAACGGCCACCAAAAATGCGATTCGTCTCCAAAATCTGGCATCCAAACAGTGCGTCTTCTGGATAAAACAGCTCTGATCATCCACCGTTCATTTTAATTTACGGGGCTTTGGTTGTACAGCCAGAGCACCGATAACCGTCAGCTAATGACTGGATCGAATTGAATTTTTCCTGTTAACCTGGTTTTGTAATGTTTCCTAGAGAAAATTCATTTACTAGCAGTGAATGTACCCGGGCTTGTATGCATCATATTTGCTAATTTTAGCAAAATCGAGAACCACTGCCTCCTTCTAGTTGATGAGACTTGCCGAGAGTCGCTGGAAAGAGTTTTTTAATCATCGTGGATTTGCATGTTCTTATTGAATTTGCCGCCTTTAATTCCTCGATTTATCTTATTACTTCAACCTTCATTCCACTTGCCAGTTTTAGCACTTTGTTCTCATGAAGCGGATATCCAGTGCCAGTAGTCACTGTTAATTCACAAGTACTGCTGAGTAGAACTGGCCTTTAGTTCGGACTGCAGTAAATTTTCCTCTTCTTATTCCTTAGTTGCTTTTGGTTGCAAAGTTAAGAATTTA